AAGGTAACGGATGGCGCAACACAAAGGTAGTGAACGGGACACTGTATAATTGGGTACAGGGCGATCGGCCAAAGGATGACTCAGCAATTGGAGCATGCCTTACCGTCAAAGGTGTTGGCAGATTGTCTAGGCTCGTATGTATACTTTCGAGCAGCGGGCACTGTCTTTGGCGGTTCTCCGTCTTCATCGCAAAGCTCTGCTAGGCAGGGGGAGAAGAAGATCTCCCCCTTGATTGCTTTCACCAGTGTGAATACTGCGATGAAAGCCCAAAGAAGTACTTCGGACAGCGAGAGGACCGTTGCAAGCACTCGAAATGCTCCAGAATCGAGCTCGCTTGCCAACTTGATCGTAGCAACAGCGAACACTCCCAAAGGAAATGTGAATCCCCACCATCCCAGATTGAAAGTCAACTTCGAGACGAGCCATAGATCGATCAGACTTGATACTGCAAGTGAGAGCCAAACGAGGCCTAAGCCCCATATCACCAACGCAATGGGCACAGTGACGGCATAGATGGCGGTGGCCATCATCTGTGCTACGTCGGCGTTCGGCGTGGTTGCCATGCTCCCTAATGCAGAGTCTGTGTCCTTGGAAAGCTTGTACAACACCGATGACAGTTGTAGGAGAGCGAATGCACCTTGCCCGCAGGGTCCGAGAGGAAGAAAAGTCGACACGATGAGTTGAGCTGGCGGAATCTTGTGTATCGCTTGGCGGGCGTAATACAGAGACATGAGGAGGAAAGCTAACCCGAAGCCGGTGCCCCACAGGATCCAACATACCGTCAGAGTGAGTTTGGCGTGCGAAGGTGGGAGATGTTCCGCAACGAGTCCTCCTGTTGCAGAAGCGACGATCGTCGAGACTACCGGGAGAAACCACACCCCCGAAACCTGATTCAGCGTCTGAGTATGGCGAGTGAACTGCAGGAGGGGCAGACCAATGCAGATAAAGATGGATACGATCGCATCAATCCACCACAGTGACCAGGTAAAGGTGACGAACGGCCCCGGACCCCATGCAGGAATTGCGGATAAGGCGCACATGTTGATGATCGTTGCAAACCCCATGGCGAAAGTGCCCAAGAAAAGGGACTGAGACGGATGGTGCAACATGATCCTGAACAGCTGCGGCCAAAGCATGTAGCGAGCGAGACTGATGCTTAGGAATACCAGAAACAGCACAACATTCAATCCGAAAATGATGTTGGAAATGATGCCCAGGCCGTGAAATTGGTAAGGGAGCTGGTGGAGAAGAATCGACGAGATCCCTGTACCCATGTTGACGCTGAACCAGCTGGGTGTGAAATGAAGTGTGATGCGACGGAGTTCAGCTCTCATGCGCTTCGATCGACTGGGCTGCGGACGTCGTTCATCAGGAGCACGAGACATTGTGCTGAAGGAGGGATGGCCTGAACCCGGCTGCGTTGTAGCTTCGCCAACGTCACCTCTCCCCTGGAAAGCATCGGGAAGGTCAGAACGACGTTCGCTGTCGTTGCCGACTGGCAAGAGACAAGAAGCATTGATCGGACCAGCACGGGCTGCTGGTCTCGGAACCGCTTTCTCTAGATCGGCCATATCAAAGAAGGGTCTTCGATGGAGAAGTGAATCCTACACGTTGACACGGAGAAAGGTGCTGGGTGGGTGTGTTGACAGATGCTGACGACTTCAGGTGAATCGAACGTATTGATGGTGGCGAGCAGTAGGCGCAACCGTCATTGCCTTGTTCTCCTGGGCGTGGCCAGAAGTGGCGCGACTTGAGAGGACAGAGGAACGCGGTCACTCAACCTGGTGCAGAGCTCAGCCAAATTAGCAAAAATTAAGTAAGGTAACTCGGCTCAGCCGCTCAAAGGTCATCCCACCGGTCTCGTAAAAATCGCTCACCGCTGAACTTTTATCTTCCCGAGACCTTTCACGACACGGGGAGAAACAAGCCGCGGCTAGTTTTCGCGCAGATTTCAGATCGATGACCGAAACCACCCCGCAACTCAATCACATGGACAGAGTCGGTTCGTACGACAATTGTTCATGTATGCGATATCTCTAAGCGACTGTTGCGAATAGTGCGGTGAAGCCACCGCCGATAGCGTCGTGATGGAAAGGGGGCTCCTTCTGTGCGCTATATTGCTAAAATTCGTGGGGTGCTACCCATGCAAAGTTGGGTGACCTGAGGGGGAAAAATGGGAAACTTCGTCATTGTGCAGACTGTACACATGAGAGAGCTTGAGGGGCAGTGTGAACAATTGGGGCCGTCTCCCTGCACCTATCAATTGCCCACGCACGCTGATCTCCACAGGAAGACCCTGAAAATAATCGCCAAATTGATATCGAGAAGACAGAAATTTGGTTGGTACCCCAAATGCAGGGGTCGGACTTCACTGCAAGCAGCCGATTTATAGGAATGGAAGCGATCTCCGCTAACGGATTGGCAAGCAAAGCTGCGCTCATCAAATTCCATTTCACAATAGTGGCTCGGCAAAGTTGTGCGGCCGTGTACTAGTCGCCATAACCAATTGTTTTAATGGCAATGTATTAGGACCACATGACCTCAACACTGGCCAACATTCCATGTGTTTCGACTCCAAAATTTCGGCAATCAGTCATGGCACATGCAATCTAATACATATGGTGGAGAAACTCATTTTCATGAGGGACGATGTCCGCGAAGTGCTGTGGCTCCTTCCCTCGTCATCTAGCAGCTCAGGTTGGAGAGGCCCCCTGATGTGGTGTCGAGAAGGGTAGGTTTGTATCGGTGTTTGCATCAATCAGCAGTGGCATCAGACTATGCGTCAACGTTCACGATACTTTTGCAACTACAGGCAGCAGTGGTGTTGAAGCAGCAGATGGCGATTCTTTGTCCCGCGTGGGTGACCACAGCCAAATTGTAAGTCTGGCCACTCTCGTTAACATGCAAGTTCCAAAAAGAGTAGACTTAGCACCAAAGTGTCACTAAAGCTGAGTCAGCGCTTGCTGGAAAGTCTAGTTGGTTCAAATAATGCGTTGGACACCGCGCTGGTTTGACTTGTGTGATTGTCATCGAAGCGTCCCTCCATTCCACACGAATCTGTCTCACGCTTAGTGAATCTTGTCGGTGTTCTTCATATCAACTTTCATCTCCACAGCGCTGCGAACCTTTCCTGCCATCTTCCCTGCAGAGTAAAGTCAAGGCCTCAATGATCAGCACTCCGAGTTCGCCCGCCTCTGCAAAGCATGGCAATGCAAACCGTGTGGAGGATGGCGATGTCACAGTGTATCGATCAGACGATGCAAGCAGACGATTTGGGAGCGTACCGCAAGCAATCAAAGGCCATGGATCTGACCTGGATCATCGAACAGCACCTTCAATGCCGTCTTCGAACAGGACAGCGCAACAGGATGATGTGATTGCAACGCAAAAAGGGGCGCCAACGACGGTCACACGATCAATCTCGTCAACCCGGCCAAGTACCTCAAGAGTGATACCAGACGCATTTCAAGCCACGTCTTCTACCCTATCGCACACGATCCCTGACCCCGCCACTGCCGACTATGGCGAAGTCATCGAGCCGCAGCGTCTTCCAACGTCTACGCACCACAAGGTCATTCGCCACACCGCCATTCTTTCTCTTCTTGCGCTCGCCGCCATTTGGGGCACGCTCGCTCGCGAGGGTCTCGTTGCGCTCAATACCTACTCCGGCACCTCTGTTGACCCTCTCATCTGGGCCCAGACTGTCGGGTGTCTGATCATGGGCCTTGCTACTGGCGCCAACAGGAAACCGATTGAGGGGAGATACCTGCCCGCATACATCATGATCACCACTGGCCTCTGTGGCAGCATTACGACATTCTCAACGTGGATGCTGGGCGTATTTCAGGCCTTCAGCAATGAGAAACATTACGACAGACATGGATTCCATAATGTCATGGATGCACTCAGCCAGACGGGGTTGACCTTTGGGATGGCGTTTGCGGGTCTTACGGCCGGTGATGCGCTGTCAGATGTTGTGAATGTGGACAGAGCCATTGCCTTGTTCTCCAGCAAGGAGAAGGAGGAATTGGATAAAGAGGAGGACAAGGGCAAGGGGAAAATTGCGCAACCTGAGCAGTCTCTTGCGATTGACTCATCGATGATCCTACTCGGAGCTGCGTTCTGGGTTGGAGCTGCATTTCTATGTGGCTTTCATGCATCGTACAGGCATGTCACATTCAGCTTGGTCTTAGCGCCCTTCGGAGCTGTACTGCGATGGTATCTCTCGCGCTTGAACTCTTGCCCTCTTTCTGAGCGATTTTCACTGCCACTAGGTACGCTCATTGCGAACTTGTTGAGCACAGCAGTGATATGCGCTGCGTTCACTGCGTCCCATGCGGGCTCACAGCCGCGGCCGTTCTTCGGCGGCATCACCGGATGCACTGCGCTGAAGGGTCTCGCGGACGGTTTCTGCGGGTGCTTGTCAACAGTCAGCACGTTTGCTGTGGAGTTAAGGACAATCAAGCCGAAGACGAAGGCAGTCAGGTACGCAGTGGTGTCATGGGTCATCGGCATCCTCATATGTGTGCTGTTGGTTGGTGCACCCTCGTGGTCCACGAGCATCGACGGTAGCTGCTCGGGCTTCTGATCGCCGTCACTCCGCAAACATTGGATCGACCATGCCGCATCACGTGCGCATCAAGCCCATACGCAAGTGGACGAACAGCTTTTGGACACACCAAACTCAATGTGGGAAGCGGGTCAAGGTTAGGGTCGATAGGAACGAGCCTCCTCGAGAGGAGACAAGTGTGCCACGAAGAGGTTAGCGAACGACGCCCACCGTACGGCTCCGGCGACTTGACTGCACCTGGTCCCTCACAACAAACGCGTTTTGGCATTCAGACTTCGCATCAAATGAGCCATAGAGAAAGACGGACGCCCCTTGCGGACAGCGGATCCTTGGCTGACATCTGGGGTGCGCGTGCGCTGATCCTCGGCGCACTGACCTGGATGTGCGCGTGGTGCGTTGTTGGCATCTTTTCATTTCGGTCCTTCCTCCTCTTCTGCATTGTGCGTGCCATGCAGGGCCTGTCCGTCGGTGCGCTCACCTCATCCTCCATGTCCTACCTTGGGCGCGTTTATAAGCCAGGCCTCCGCAAAAATCGCGTGTTTGCGCTCATGGCAAGCCTCTCCCCCTTCGGTTTCGTGCTGGGCTGCATCCAGGGCGGCGCTCTCTCTGACCACCTGCCCTGGGTCTTCGGAAGCAATGCGATCATTGTGGGCGCCGTCCTTGTCGCCGCAATACGCTATGCCCCGACAGAGAAGGCGATGCGTGCTCACGAGCACTCGTCGGGCGCAGCCACCAGTCGGCCGCCGCGCAAGTTCGACTACATTGGTGCAGCCCTGGCCATCTGCGGATGCGGCCTGCTCGTTTTCGGTCTCACGCAGGGTGCCTCTGCCGCCTGGTCTCCGTACACCTACGTCAGTGTGATAGGTGGGCTTGCTTTCTTCTCCTTGTTTGTTTGGGCCGAGACGCGCATTGCCCAGCCACTGATGCCGCCCTCACTTTGGAAAATCAAAGGCTTTGTGCCGCTGGCCACCTGCTACTTTCTCTCCTTTGGCGGCTTCAGCGCTTGGCAGTTCTACGCGTGCCAGTTTTGGCTGCGCGTGCAGAACGTGAGCCCATTGACCGCATCCTTGTACCTGTTGCCAAATGCCTTCGTTGGCATTCTGGCCACTTTCCTTGTTGCACGCCTGTTTCACCTGGTTCCTGGCCACAAGATCCTCGGCGCCGGCTGCCTTGCCTCGGCAATGGGACCAGCCTTCTTTCTCTTGCAGCAAGCAGACACATCCTACTGG